CAGCATAGGAGGGTTAAAGGGAACATCCTCCAAATCTAGTCTTGGGCTAAGACGTAAATATATGCAAACGTGTCATACAGAAGAGTCATTTTTGCAGGAGGAAGAGGTGTCATGAAAGTGAAGAAAAAGATTGAACCGCAGACAGTCACAATTTCCAGGATGCAACGGCAGAAGAAAAAGTTTGTCACCGTAGTAAGGGGCCTTGGTTCACATGGTAAGCAACTTTATTATGTTTATCTGGCCCACTCAATGCACAAGTACCCTTTAACTGGTGAAAAATAGGCCGACTGGGGATATGTTTTTAAGTTGTCGGTCTAGTCCCAGTCCCAGATGCACATGGCGTGTCATCCCAAGGGGACAGTTGTTTTATAACACAAGATCATCTCTTGTTTAAACACGGATCCCACTTTAGCTAAAATGTGTACATGTATGGTTGGGTTTAATAGTGCCATTTCAATATTATCTCGTCTGTGTGCATTAAGAAACATTGAACATTGATTCCTGCACTTTTCTGAGGTAAGTTGGCTTGCAAGTCATCATCACATTAATTAATCGGACATTTCTTTCACCCCTCTGCTAGTAGTTTTTTTTTTCCCAGTGCAGGTCCCATTGCAAGTTAGACAGTTTGTAAGCACAATGGAGAAGCCTATTGCTGGGTTTATAAACTAAATATCAAGTTTTTCTCTTGAGTGTGGCCAATTTTGTGCCCTTGAAAATTTTGTGCATAAGATATTATTGCAGAAACTCCTGATATTATTTACTCTCTTAACCACTTCCTGCCGGGTGGATTTTTCTTGAGCGGGACGAGATGACGGGACCTTTTTGAGATTTTCATTTTCAACATTCTTCAAAAATTCACGTGTTCGTTTACTGGAATGTCTACACCCACACAAACGACTGTCTGGTTGCTACTCTAATCTGACAGTATTCAGCCAGGCCTGGAGCCCTGTAAAAGAGAGCCCAGAATTGTGAGGTGTTGCATGATTTCCTTTGTTCCAGTGAATACCAGTAGCGTCTTTTCATACGTGGCTGGATTAGCGAGCAGCGGCACTGTGTCACTCATCAATGGGGCCCTGGAGCACTTTTGTCCACGGTGCTAATCCTCCGGCGCGCTATGCCCAAAACAGTGGTATACTGTTTCAAAACAGCGCTGGATTACCTTCGAAAAATGGAAGCCGAAAAATGATGGCAATTCCCAACAGCAGGTCCTTTGTTTCGAGTACAGTCTTTTGTTACACAGACCAGCTCTTTTGTCTGAAACTGGGTACCCCGGCTCAGTGTATAAACACACGGTGCCCGAAACCGGGGGGAAGTGGTAAAAGCCATATCTTCCTGTAAGAACTTACTTAAGTACGAATTTTCTGATTTGGGGGGGGGGGAAACTTGAATTTGAATGGTATCGCCGTATAATCACTTTGCAACTGTGTCCTTGTCTTGCTGTGTAGATTCATTCAAGGGAATCTCTCTCAAACAGGCCCCAAAAATTGGTTTTGTGAGGGTCATGTGCCAAATTCTTGTCAACCTAGAAGGTTCTCTGTCTTTCTCAGACATAGACGTACGGGATGCGGCCAAGGCATTTGCATCCCGCTTCTCTTGTGGGGCATCTGTCTCGGGGGAAGACGAGATTGTAATTCAGGGGGACGTTACCGATGATCTACTGAGCTTCATCCCAGAAAAATTCCGTGTGAGATACTGTGATGTTTTTATTGTGATACAGTATTGCTGTACAAGATTTTTCCCGCTATATGTGTTTCAAGCAGCTGAACTCCAAGTCATTACTTCTAAATTGAAATTGGATTGTGATATCCTTTCTTGCTTTAGAATAATCACATGGATTTTTTTTTTTATTTTAGGGGAAAAATAGCAGCCTTCAGGGTTCAGGTGGCTACAGTATTAAAAAAACCTAATCCTGGTTTCCACATATGCACGCTTTTAGAAGCCTGCATTTAAGCTTTTTTCATTTATGTTTTGTTCCCGTGTTGATCACATAGCAAAATCATTTCCAAAGATACTTCCTAATTGTTATTTTCAACAAAAATCTTGTAAGAAGCAGTTGTACATTGAAAATAGTTTGAGTACATTTTGTTGCCTTGTTGATCACATAGCAAAGCTGTATTTCCCGAGATACTTCTCAATTTTTAATGAAAAAAAATCTTGTGAAGGTAATTTGTCTTTTGTCAATTCTTCTGTTCCATACAACTGAAGATTTGCATGTGCATCCTGTGATCAAAACATTTCCTTTTTGTTTCTCATTACAGATTGACGAGGAAAATATAGAAGACCTAGGAGACATGAAGAAATGAAAAAAAACCAACTCCACTTAAATCGCTTCTAATCAAATACAAATTGAACCAGTTGATAAATTTCAATGGGCCAGAGCTTAAGTATTATACATGTAGTCAAGGCTTTCTGGAAACCATGAGGCCCCTCTAAGGCTCTTACCCACCTAGTGCTCAAATTCTAGGGCACGATTACGCATATCAAATGGTAATGAGCCAGACAGTTTCAAATATGTCAAAGGTCATTGGGATACATGAACAAGATGCTCCAACTTTCACAGGAAAAGATCCTGAGGAGGTTTGGGTGACTGGCAGGCACAAAAAAGGAGTAAATAAATAAGATAAGAATTAGCATAGTAACAATAAACAATAACATCCCGTAAGGGTTATTATTCGTACATCAGTAACGAGATAATGCATTACCCATCTGTCTGCTCATCTGCAACGGTGACCATAATAATAATCGGAGGAGCCTGAAATCCCCCCCCCCCAAGAAATTCCTGGATCGGCCGCTTTTATTGAAAAACTTCAGCAAGATTGGAACTAGTTGTCCAAGTCCAAGCCTTTGGCATGCACCCTTTTTACCCACATTTGGACAAATTAACAAGGCCGCTGGCTCTCATGAATAGCCACAGGCAAGTTTTATCAAGGATCACTAGTTAACTAGTGGTTGGTTTGTGTCGTACCTAGCACATATGTAGTGCAGTTGATGTGTGAATGACCCCAGTCAATCGTTATTAGGTCATTAGGCCAAAGGGGAGAACAGGTGGCCACAGGAAGGGCAAAATAGCGAAAATACAAATAAAAATGGTCGTTTACAAGTGACACACAGTTTCTATTAAGCTGGTCCTCTCTGCACTGTGCCAATAGAAATGGTTTATGGTAATATATGATGCAGCCAACCTCAATAGGCTAGTCTCGAATAGTCCTACCATCAACTAGCGCGCATTTGTTCAAAGTTGGTCTAGCTATGGTTAGCTATGGTCCTTATGATAACACTTGCCCCACAATGTGATTCAGTTAACGCAGTATCAACACAGTCACTGCATTTCGACCAGAGATTGTCTGGGCATATTTCCACTGGTAAATCTTTTATTTGAAATCATTAACTATATCCATTGAAGTGATTTAAAAGCTATAGCAGTTCCTGGTCGAGTAACATGTTGCTGTCTTGCATCTTTTTGATCTGTGACAAATTGGCACTTTGGCATCTAGCTCAAAGTGATCATTTCTGGATAGAAGGTGATATCTGTGTTCAGGATGGAGCATTTACTTGTACATAACTATTTCACCATTTTCTTGCAGTTATCCACTCATTTGTTTAAAAAATCACTGGACAGTTTATTTGCCAACCCGGCCCTGCTGCAAGTCAAAAGCTGAAAGAAGAATTCAGTGTTAAAAATCTTATGAAAATATTAAAACTCCTTATAGGAAATACTTGTGTTGAGTGCAAAATGGATCTGTGTCCCAGTGTCTAATACTGTTGATGCAAAATGCGCATTTGAAGCAGAAATGATTGGCTTTTAAGGCTGAATTTTCTTCGTACTTTGGCCGCCCATTTGATGTACATGTACATATCCCTACACTGTATGTAAAACGTATGTCGCGTGGGGAAACTGGTCTTCGAAAATGGCGCCCTCCCGTGTCAAAGCTTGCCTTAATCTCCGATATCAACAAAATGGCAGAGAAAGGCGATGGGAGGTCCCAACCTGTTTTGCCCAGAAATTCCGACGAAAAAGATGATCCACTCGACCTGCTTCAAAGTGAATCCTCGGAGTCTGAATCTGAGAGCAGAAAAAAACAATCGGATGAAAAGATCACGAATAAAAGGGAGTTTAAAGGAGACGGGATCGATAAGTCCTTGTCAGAGCTAGCGGTAAGATTATCATGGCGTTGTAAACGTGTGGTCCGTCTATAACCGACACTCAGCAGTAACAAACACGAACAGTACTCAGTCGTGCCAGTAGATTCACGTGTGTCCTCCTGTATACATGTACATGTTGGAGCACTGTACATGTACACGTCCACGGGGCTCGGACAACTCACTCGACCATTGACACAATTGCACTGTTTGCAGAATACCCCGCCACCCACCTCGTAGCCACGGATACGCGGATACGAAGTCACGCTTCCATTCACAAGGCCCATAGCCCACTTTGTATTCCCGGCCCCATATTGGACTTGGGAAAATTCTTCCGCCATACCTTTTCACTTTGCATTGCATCCCCATTCACTTTGCGTTGTAGGAAGCAAGGCCAAGGCCCACATTGTATCCGCATAGCCGCTCCCCGGGACCCACATTGGACTCGGGAAAATTCTTCCGCCATCCCCATTCACTTTGCGTTGCAGTGCTTCGTTCTCAAGAATGACTTCAATGCTGTACACAGCACGTACCTTGACGCAGCAAGGATAACCCAAAGTCGAACAACTTCCACTTGACTACGTAGCCATGCATTTTTAGGGGGTGTTTTCGCGTGGTGGGGTTTTCTGCAATTACTCCGGACAACTCGGCCATGTCGACCATCTGTAGGCCTGCTCATTGGTACTCTGTGCCAGAGACGGAAACAGGTCCACTTGTACAGGTCTAGGACAACTCGTACCGTCAACTCAACCAACTTTACCAACTCATACCTTTGCCGAGTCGCACCTCCGACAACTCCTCCTCCAGTAAAGACAACTTGTAGTCGTAGGCCCTTAGCCTACCACTGCATACCTTATACATGTTATACAGCTCGTATCTTTAGGCTTTATAGAAATCAGATATGTCAGGGCTTGCCCACTCTCAGACATGTTAGAGTCAGAGCTTATTATTAAATTGCAATCAACTTGAACATTTGGTTTTTTGGTTTTAATTTGGTTTTTTAGCCATGTGTTCGTCACCTAGCTTGCCGTTTTGGCTACACTGCCATCCCTGCATACATGTATGTGCAGTACATGCCAGTATGGTGACATTAATTTGCCACATGTTGACGTCAAGCATGAGCACGGTCAGGCAACTGGTGCTGGTCAACGTCATTCAGTGTCATTGCATGCCATTTGGAATCTTCTGAATTACGAATATAAAGGTATGAGTGGTCTTAACTCGAGGTACATATATGAGTTGTCCAAGGTACGAGTTGCCCATGATATATGAGTTGTCCAAGGTACGAGTCATTCAAGGTACGAGTTCAAGGTATGAGTTGACATACAACTTGAATGTTGGGGCAAATTGTCAATCGAGTGGTGAGTGCTTGTGGATTACCTAAAAAGTACATTCACATTGCACCCACCTTTTTCTCCTTTGGAAATTAAAAAAGTTAAACCGCTTTCGCGGCCATGCACAGTGTTGGTTGGGGCGGCCAGAACACCGTCCACTAGTCTGCATGCATGATGTATCATTGCATCCCTATTAACACGATACCTGGATGCCCCCAGAATTGTGGGGTCCTACATGTATGTCCGCCCCACTCCCATGTGAGAGCGGTGGGGCAGATGTCAGACCCCACAAGTCTGGGGGTAATCCCTGGCAAGTTGATTCACAACATAACATGACACATGCAAATTTACCCAAACACGATATGCAATCTGTGTTAAACGCCCCAAACTCCATCATGTAGGCAATTTGCTTTGAATGGTTGAGTTGTTTAACGGATGACTTGGTAAACAGTCGAGTTGTGCCACTGGTCGAGTTGTCTCATTGGTCGAGTTGTCCCAAGTCGAGTTGACAAATGATTGAGTTGTCCGACATCCATGTATCCAGCCATACGTTATGTCTTGACTACATGTACCAGTGTTGCGTCCATCCATCTGTGCTACAGTTAGGCAGACCCAACTATGGTACATGTAACTTCTACAGACCTACTGGTAGGCCTGGACAATTTTTGCAGCTCACACCTTTTCATTCATTCATTATGCTCGTTAAATTCATTCATCCCAAAAGCTTGTATTTCATCCATGACACAAACAAAAAAGAAGTGAATATTTAACACGAGTGAACTGGGCCAGATATGCTTTTGAAGTTTGAGATGTGCATTGTTTTGAGTACTAAGAAATTTACTATGGCAAATCCTTGTCTGGTTATGTTTACGTTGTCACTTGGATTATATTCTCGAAATGGAATCCTGACCTTTCATTTTGAGACTTTTTCCCTTAAAATATCCCCAAGAGCCTCAAAAGAAAATGGAAAAAATCCTGCAGTGTATTGTGGGAATCAATTTAAAACAATTAGAGTTAATCCTGTGGCTTTTTTCGGGGGAGAGAGGAAGGAGGCATAGCCAATCTTGCTTGGTATAAAGTTGAATCTTGCGTGTATCTCTGTACTGTGTCTGTAAACACAGCACTACTGTATGCCGGCATTAAAAAAACTGGAACCGAATGATATTAATTCTACCTGATATCTGCCCGATGTTTTATCCATGAATTTCTTAACACCACCAGGCTCCTTCATCTAGAAACCGATCGCGCCCACTCCAATTTGGATGCTATTTCAGTTTCACAGAGTAGCTGTATGTCTGTCTTCACTCCCAGAACAAAATTATGGACTCAATCAAGAAGATCTATCTTTGGCGTTTGGCCAGAAAGTTTGTGCGGAAGAAGGCTGAGAATGATTTCCTGGCTTGCAGAATGGGAGAAAAAAAAAACAATATCCTGGACCCTTCACTGACACTTGTGGGGCAAGATTTCTTGCTTGTTTACTTATGGACAAGTTTACAGGGTACTTGACAGTGACAGGTTCTTTATTTGGCTTGAAAAGGGAGGGTGGGGGGGAATTAATATTGGGTGCAGTGGAGGGATTTCACTTTCGTGCTGTCTGCGCATATCTGCATCGAAACCGAGGCTCTCTGTGTTTAACTTCGTTGTGCACACCCACAGAGTCGACACAGTACATGTACTATCTGGTTTGTAAGTGTGATGCCACTTCAGTTTAAACCACGCCCACTACACATGCAGATACACGACCATTGCAGGTGCATGGGGTTAGTTAATGGTAAATTGCCACAATTTTTTCTTTTGGTTTTATGTGTCGAGTCATCCTGAAAGACTCTTCCACAAAAATTTGCAGCCTGAAAAGTCTGAATTTAACATACCTTTATGTATTTTGTGTCTTGACTCCTTTCAATTGTCTGATCGTATTAAGAACTGAAGCTGACACATACAGTTTTCAAATGCGGAAGTGCGCAGATCGATGCTAAAAGCATCGTATTGGGATCCCTCTATGGGAGGATCAATTGTTCTACGTCTGTCTCGTGGCTGCATCACCCTTAGTCCATATGAGGAAGATTTGAATAAGGCTGTCAGTGTCAAGCACTCGTAACTTTGGACAAAAAATTTCAGGTGTCCAAGGAATACGGATGTGGACTTGGACCAAAAGAGTCGAGGACTCGGCCATAGTCTGGTGTGAGTCCACCCAACAAGGAAGCTTTTTATCACTCAATATTTAAACAGTACCATGGCATTGTTCCCAACCTGCAGAATTCTGTCCTAAAAAATATTTTATATTAAGAAGCGTGACTTGCATTCTATGATGCTACTTTTAACAGTTGCTTGTGTAGTTTTAAACGATGCCTTGCAAACTATGTGGAGATACATGTATTCTTGGTTGAAATTGCTAGTTCTGGTGGCATTGTGCTAGTACTTAATTTCCAAGTGCTTAAAAGCACTTGGAAATTCATTTGTCTTTTTATTCATACTGGTACATGTGGTTATAATTACTGATGATAAACGGGACCCAATTCTACATCCATGCAGTATCTTTTTGTATAAGAGCATTGATGTATTGAAGGACCTGGATTTTTGGACTCGGAGTCTGATTTCTCGGACTCAAATCAGTAGGACTGAGAAGATACCGCCACAGTAATGACTTATTCTGGACTAATAGAAAGTAGGTTTGCGGTAGCACCA